CATGGGTTTAGGATAACTAGTGCTAGGATCCTTTATGCTTACTTGGAGGCCCAGGGAGCTTAGTAAGTAGGTTATAAGTTATAAGTAGACTTACAAGTACCCTGAATGGAGTTACCCCAATTATAACCCTACTTATAACCGACTTACTAAGTCCCCTGGGCCTCCAAGTAACTGTTAGTGTATGAGGAATCTAACATAATGTTCCAACTTTATGGCTTCTACTATATGCTACTATCGTGGAATTAGATCCCAAGCCACAGTAAGGATGGTCCTTTGTGGCCCCATGCCAGAATGGTTGTACAAAGGGAACCTCTGGATAACTGAGTGGCGCAAGGGTGTCTGCATGCAATGTATGTATGTAGTATGCAGATGTCTCTGTCTCTGTACCTGTGTGTGTGTGTGTGCTCTTGTGTGTGTGTGTGTGTGCATGTGAGTGTCTAGCTATCTACCTGGAGCAACTGGCTAGTTCCTAAATTAGGTTGGAGTCCTTTTTACAAGGGTGCCGACCCTAATTTGGAGAACAACCCAACTGCAGGATCCGACGTACACAGTACCCAGCCATACACACCGAAATGTCAGGTACAGGTGGGGGCATATGTCTCCACTTCCCGATTGTGCCACAAGCCGCATTGCTCGCCCTGCTCAGGTGCTGTGTTGTCTTGTGCTTTTTAAATGGCTAGCGTCTCGCTTTGAAGCAGGTTTTGACTCTCACACACACACAAACAACCACACAGAGAGACACGCAGGCACACCGGCACGCCCCACAGCTCTCAAACCATTCTCGCACTCGCAATCTCCGTCACTGCCACTGTATAAACCCTAAACCCTAAACTCGCAGGCGTTTCTCTGTCTTGCCCAACTTTGTATTTTCAGGCCAGAAATGTTACATGTATCGAGTGTCCGTCGTTTCAGTACCTCGCAAGCCAAGGGAGACAGGGTTTAGGATTTCAGGATTTGGCTAGGAGTTAGGGTTTAGGGTTTAATCAGGGCACGTGTGGGGTTAAGGACAGAGGCGTTTAGGCGTCTGGTATGTAGGATATAGGATTTACACCCAAACCCAGAACCAAAAAAAACAAAACCCTAAAAGAATACGAAGTTTAGTGTGATTGGCGATGAGGACATGCGGAAGGCCTTGGTGGACAAGGGCCAAGCTCCACATGCTGCCATCATTGGCTGCGCCTGGTCCATCTTACCATAGGTCTGGGATTAGGGTTTAGGGGCTTGGGGTTTATAACCCTAAGTTACTATAGGTT